GGAGGGGAGCTGTTGCATTGTGCTAAACTGTGGTCAATGTCATGAGACAAAGTATATGTAAACTGCTATATGGAAAGTGAATTTGCTCTGTAAATCTTCACTGAAATCACAATAATAAAAAAAATCTAAAAAAAAAAAATTCAATGTTTTTTGAAGTTACATTGCACTTAAGCAGTTCTTTAATTTTACAACTCTTTGATGGTCTTGTGCTATTTATTCTGTTTTAGGTCAGCTTTAATGACTGTAGTTGATGGAAGCCATAATATTTTCATTCAAGTGGGATCAAAGCTGATAGAGAAGATTCTTCTCAACATTTCCCCTGATTGGCTCAACAGAGTTATAGGTAATATATGAGCATTCCATGAAGAGGTTGTTCTTGGTGAAACCATTACTTTCAGGAAAGTAGAGAGTAGAAAAATAGTATAAGGAATACTATAATGAATTTTAAAGCAGTAGGATAATTTAGCACGAGCAAACACAAGAGTATGTAAGTTGGAAGGTAAAACTTGTGTACCCCTGTCTCAGTACGTGAATAGGGGAAGTACATAATATATCCTTTCTCCAAATTCCCAATTTTTAAGTGAAATTTAGAATCCTAGTGTTCTGGTTACCTAGTGCCACTCAGAAGAATATACTACAGATGGGATGGCTTAACAAACAGGGGTTGATTCTTACAGTTTGGAGGCTTAAAGTCCGAGTTCAGAGTGCCAGGCTCTAGGGGCTGGGTGAAAGCCTCTCAACCTTGGGGTCAAGCTTTGCCTTCTGCTCCCAGCCCACTGGAGCCAGAGGCTTTTCACTCAGACAGCTGCTGGGTGCTGAGACTGACAAGCCCAAGGTTACCAAGTAAAAAGGCACAGTCCCGATATTACCAAGCCACATGGCAGGCCACTAATTCAAGTCCATTAAAAGTCCCAATGTCGGTAGAGCATGGTAGGCTGCTAAACAATGACATGGCTACATGCAGGGTTCAAGTGTGCCATAAGCTAGAGACCTTTCCCAAAGCTGTTTCTTATATATGGGAGGCAGACCACATACTCAAAGCAGTTTCTCAGCTGCTCCAGTAGATTCCACCATGGAGTTAATTACTAATCTCACCATGGGGAATAACTACATTCAGCTGCCCAGCCACTCAACCAAGCCCAGCCAAGTTGACACACAAACTTAACCGCCACACCTATGTTTATAATAATGAATGTGTAACACTGTATATATGAAAATAGTCCACTGTTGGAAAGAAATTGCAGATCTTCAGCTGTAATGCTGGCTATATCCAGTGGCCAAGAATAAAGCACTGATAACCCATTTGTCAGATGCTAAAACTCTATACCTGTCTTCATTAGCCTCAGACTCCCTAAGCACATGAGTGAAGCAAATCTGGTTCTGTCAGTTGCTTTGTCTCTCTGTAATGCTGATATGTGTGTGTGTGTGTGTGTGTGTATAAATAATGTGTCTAGTAATTTTTGCTTGAATGAGAACATTGTGTACAGAACAGTAGAGTCTGAGGTAAACAGTATTTATACCTGGAAAAGTATGCCTCTCCTTCTAGGTCATTATTGAGGCAGAGGAGAGAGGGATGAGTCAATCTTGTCAGATGTTGAGTTGGATTCAGGCTTTGTCACTGCTGTGGTTACTTTTAGATCATCAGCGCTTCACATTCCTTTATCGTTATGTTGTGTTTATAGTGGAGAATGTTTAGCTAGAAAGTGTTCTTCAATATTCCCATTTAACCATCAGCTTTAGCCCTTCACTCTACCTATGTCTCAGAGAGGGTTTTTCCATATGTTCTTGCCTCTCACCCAGTAGTAGACTTTTGTTTGTTGTTATTTAGTGTATCCTCATCTGATAGTGATGTTACTCTTAGTGATGTTACCCCTTCTGCCTGTGGCAACCAACCTCTGCCTTTACTTTATATCCATTGGGTCATGTGTGTGACTTTCGTGCTCCATCCTCATAGATTGAGGGATTTTTTACTTTCCCTCATCTGCTGAGGATTTTCACTTGTGCTCTAGGAGACAGGACTAGTTACCATTCCTCCAGTAGTTTAAGGCTTTTTTTCCATTTCAGGAGAGGTGGTTTTCCCATAATAGCCACTCTCCTCATCTAGGACTTCACCATAGTTGGAGGCTTTCTTTGATCTTTTGTCCTTCTTCCCGCCTTATGAGTACTTAATACAGGTGAGAAAAATCACATAGGAGGAGAGCCCCTTAAATCTATGGTGCTGCTTCACATTTGGGTGTTATCAGTTCATTAAAAATTTAAGTAAACAACTTCATTTACAATAGCATGTAATATAATAAAATATAAAGGAATAAGTTTGCCCAGGAATGTGAAAGACTTGTACAATTAAAATGATAAAACACTACTGAAAGAGAGTAAAAAAGACCTAAATAGATGGAAAGACATTCTGTGCTCATGCGTTGGAAGAAAATATAATCAAGATGTCAGTGCTACCCAAAGTAATCTACAGATTCAGTGCAATCCTGATCAGAATTCTAACAGTGTTCTTTATAGAAATGGAAAAAACAGTGGTCAGGGTTTTGTTATTGTAAGTTTTATTTACTTTGGTGTTGTTGAAAATATACCCAGCTGAAGAAAAGGGCAAAGTACCAAAGGTGAGTGACCAATATGGCAGCATTGAGGATGAGAAAGACATAGAGAGGTACATGGGAAGTACAGACAACAAATATGAACCCTTTTGCATATACAGTACTGAGTTGTCAGTGAAGGCAAACATGGGTATAT